GCATCTGTTTCAACCTCAGTAGCATTTTTAGCATCTGTTTCAGCATCTAAATGATCATCTGTTGCATTTTCAGCCCCCCAGTGCTCTTCTTCCCCAAAAGCTGGGTCAATGGATTCCTTGCAGTGAGTGCCACGATGGCCAAGCCTTCCACACCTGCCACATTTCTTTCTCCTTCCTCCAAGTCCTTTTCCCTTAGATTTTTCCCTAATTCTTGTCTTCCTAGGTCTACCAGGGGCCCTGTTTTGCAATGGAGCAGACAATTTAAACCCAGGGTCCACCACATCCCACTGTTGTTTGCCCTCCATTGCAGGCAAATTTTCAGCATAAGTAGCATTGAATCTAGCAATAGAAAAGTACTCATGTACATACTGATCAATCTCACTTACTGGGCCTCTCATTGAAGTAATAAAATACAAAGCATGTATGCAAGGCTGTCCAGTTAACTGCCACTTTCTACAACTGCAAGTCCCAGTGGCCAAATTTACTAGATATCTCCACTCTCTCTTTTCCTTGTCAACTGCTGCGATCTCTGCCTCATATGTGCTTCTCTTCACTATCTCCATATCAAGGTCCTTAGATTTTGCATGAAGCATTTTCATGACTTTGGGGATTATGATGTGGCCAATGAATGTAGCAGCTGCAATCTGCTGTCTGAGATCAAACTTCTCCATTATAAACTGTCTTATTTTGTCTAGCAAGTCCACAATGTGTACACCCTTCCATTTTTTAATCTTTGAATTAAAGGACTCGGCTAGATTGTTATTAACATAATCTACTTTACATACTTCATTGAACAGTGACCTTGCCCATAGCTTGGTATGATGCTCCTCTAAGTACTCCTTCACACCAGCCTTACTGTGCAACTGCCTAAGATGGTAGTTGTGTTTCTTTATGCTGTATGTCAATGAACAGGGCCATAAATTTTCATCAAAGAATTTTCCTCTAAACTTTTTTGTGAAATTTGCAGCCAAATGCCTCATGCATTCTCTATGCTCCACACCTGGGAACACATCTTCCACTGCAGTCTCCAGGCCTTTGCATGCATCAGTGTGGATAACAAGACCTGGTGGGTTTCCTATAAGCTCTCTTAAGTTCTGAAAAAACCAAGTCCAACTGTCTATGTTTTCACCCTCTAGAACTCCATATGCAACTGGGAAGATCCAATTGCAAGCATCCACAGCACATGCACTAACTAGTTGCCCTCTAAATCTGCCATTTAATGCAGTGGCATCTACTGCAAGATAAGGCCTACATCCATTCAAAAAACCTTGCCAACATGCTTTGAAAGAAACAAATACTCTTCTAAAGCACTCTTTCTGTCTACTCTTCCCATTTAGTTTGTACTGCACAGTGTGTTTATCAATGGTAACTACACTACCAGGAGATGCTTTCTCCACTTCTGTCTTGAAGGTATACAGTAACTGGAAAGAGTCAACCCACTTACCATAGATATTGTCAAGTGCCATTTGCTTCCCATAGAATACTCTCATATATGGAACTGCCAGGCCATACTTCTTCAAATTTTTCTGCAATTCTATTGGTCCCACTTCTGAATCCTCTAAAACCCAGGTCTTCACAGCATCAACAACCCATCTACTCTTAGCTGACTTCAATCTTTTTCTCCTGTTCACACTGGGACATGTATGAGCAGTTTTGTTCACCTTAACCTGCATTCATGAAAGTTCAGACACATGTTAGAACCTATGTACTGCAACAAGAAAACAAAATACAGTATCAATGCTGCTAACTATAAGCACAATGCAATGTTAGTTGCTATATATTAGATACCTGAAATAGTGTGCTATGTCTCATTAAGGAGGCATGCATCCTCCATTGACACCTCTTATAAGCACAATGCACTGTCAACCTAGTACTGTCACTCTTGTCTATCACAAATTCACTTCCAGTCTTTATTGAGAAGGTTGCAAGAGCATTTCTACAGTCTAAAGCACTGGAAAATATTGTTCCCTGTGCCAAAGAAGGATCATCTCTATTGTATTGCACATCTGGTCTTTCCTCATCAGATGTTTCAGAGTATCCCATGTCCCTGTCCTCCTCCTTCTCATCTTCACCTGCCTCAGCAAACATGCCTTCAGGGGGTGGAACATAATCTTCCCCCTCATCATCTTTCTCCTTTCCCTTCTTCCTTGTTACAAACTGTGGAAACAACTTTTCATCCTCATCATCACTTGGCCAATCATCTGGTAGTCCCTCTTCAGTATAGGGGTCAACTGAATCTCTACTCTGAGAGGGACCTGCATTCTTAGGAACTTCTACAGTAGGTGTTCCTGGTGCCTGCATGGAACTGCTGCTGCCTCTACTATGAGCATTTTTTTTCCTGCCCCTTGATTGGCTGGTCCTACCTTTATCTCTAGACCTAGACTGAGATCTTGTTCCTCTGCTCTCTGGCTCTCCTCTCTTCCTTTGTATGACACTGATTTCTAGTTTAGCAGGGAAATAATCATGTATTGCAAACATGATACCAAGCTCATCATCACACTGGACAGGGACCCAAGCTGTTTTGTCGATGTCCCAGTACCTGAATTCCACTGCATCATATAGACCCCATGGATATTGAGCACATATGGCAGATCTAAACTGATTAAAAGTCCATTGGTTGTCAGCAACAAAAGGAAAAGAGAATCCTGTATTGGTTGCTTTTGTGCCAGCTCTAGCTAGAAGTGTGGTTTCCATTCTACATTCCATCCCAACTGCTCTGTCGGGGTCGATCCTACGATGACCATGGAAAACAGAGATAGATCCCAACGCCATGAGCACTATGAACTAGGTCAAAAAATCCCAAATCGAACTACAAATGGCATGAGACTCCGCCAGATTAGAAGAGAAACTTACCCCGCTGAAGCATGCTTCTGTGGCTGCGGTGTGCTCCCTCGTTCGCCGCCGCCGCCGCCACAACTGCTATCCCCATCCATCCGCCGCCGCCGCCGCCGTAGTAGAGTGTCGCGCAGAGTCAAATCTGAAGCTCCACCATGGCTGCCATCAGGAGATCGAGCCTTGCGAGTTGGATCGAGCGAGCTAGGGTTAGGGTTATGGCGGGAGGCGATTTGGGGGAGAAAGAGAGAGCGTGCGGCTCGGGCGAGAGAATGAGAGGGAAAGAGAGTGAACCGGTGACCTAGGCCCAGGTGTAAGGACGGAGGGGCAAAAATATCAAAGAAACGGCCGCTTACTAGTCAAACAGCCTTGACTGGACGGAAACGGCACGGAAGGTCAATTCTATAAGGGAACATGACGGCGGAGGGGTATTTTTGAGCAGGCTTGCGAATTAGGGGCAAATGTGAGTAGTGGGTTCGAGGGATACAGATGTAAAAGACCCTTTTTTTTCACGCCTTCCACGAATGATCTCATGATGAAAATTTGCAAGCACTTAGAGCATTTGTCAAAGTTCCGCAAAAAAAATCAAAAAAATTCAATTTTTTACTGTTCATCGGAGCAGAGCTCAGATACTCCGTGTCAAAACTCCTCCTTTTTCATAGGGTTGCTAATTGATGAAAAAGAGAAAACACCATGCACTCCATTAATGCTGATGAGATTGTTACTGAACCATGCCGCTACATACTATGAGGAGTTTTTGGGCATGCTCCTGGGATTGTTTAGTTTGTCCAATGATCTTTGATATGCTTCCGACTTCCTTGATGAGGTTGATAATTTTGATCTCATTAAACCTTTAATATTGAGAATATGGCTCCTGGTCTTGATGATATCCCTATTGAATTATGTCGACACTGTTGGGAGATTGTAAAAACTGACATTATACATCTCTTTGGTTGTTAAGGGATCTCTTGATGTTCAAAGACTGAACTGGCATAATCACCTTGTTGTCTAAAACAACCGGTGCTAATAAAATTCAGGATATCCTGAGATGTGTTTAGAAATGGAAAGCTAAACCGACGACACTTCATTCAGATTCTTATGTTAGAAACTGTTTAGTGTGCATCAAAATACACTAATTTAGGCTACCATATAGGAGACATTATTTTTAGCCCTCGGACTCTAGTGCTATGTTTGTTCTGAAATTTTGAAAAGTTTCCTGATTTTGTTCTTTTTGCATATAAAAAGATGTGTTGTTACTTTTACATACACTAGTCAATGTGTACGTGCAATGCACGTTAATTTGGAAGTATATTAAGTGCATGCGGATATTATGTAGGATATTACTTGCGTGTTATTGTGTGATTAGCACTATATTTGGCATGAAATTAACTGCATGCTAAACATGTTGAGCGCTCGACATTGAAGCGGTTTAGGTCGTTGGATTAACATGATTTGACGGTCGAGATTAATTGGATCTGCTCCTTTGAGTCTTTTTATATTGATACAGATATAGATATAGATATAGATGAATTGACTCGAAACCTTTTGCTATGCCAACTTTTTTTATCCGCTGGGATTCATTGGATGCAATTACAAGGACTATGATCCGTTCAGATAATTTGTAAACAACACGGAACAAATAAAAGAAAGGCTAAACACCTTCAACTGGATCTACCTACACATGCATGGACAGTAAAACCTAGAAAAACACTTTAAAATGTAAAAAAATCCAAGAAATCATTTTTCCATACTAACTTGTCTATTTTCTGCAAAGAGCACAAAACTTATTGTTTTGCCAGCAAAATTACATACGCATAGCAGACTCAAACATTGACACGCGTGACTTTTTTTTGTTGAATTTCTTTTAACATCGTATTTTTGTACAGATACAACTCCAAATTTCTGGTATAAATCCATTATCTACTATACAAAAAAAAACACTTTGAAACCCACTATGAATCTCTGGCCTTTTTCCACGCACGGCCTTCCATTCTATACACAAAACAAACAGTACACTTTGCAATCTCAGATTTACTTTTTTGCTTTGCCCTCTATACTGCAGCAATATATATACACTACACACTGCACTACAACAATATGCTCATCATAGCATACGACTAAACAATCTGGTTGAGACTGCCAGTATTTGGTTGTTCTTCAGGAGCAGATCACATCCAGTCAACATAGTCAGAAGATGATTTCGCTTCTCTTTTGGGCTTCGTGTACCTGTTGTTCTCAAACTTTGCTTTTGACGTGAGCGAATCCAGAACTGCAGCTTCAGAGAGGTCCCATGGCGTCATCAATATGCTGTGGCATACATCCGCATTGGGGAAGAGAGATTAGCACAGGTTTTATGGGTAGGGAATACATGCATGCAACTACTGATGTATCTCGGGTAGCCTGTCGTTTTCTGATGAAAATTGTGATCAACTGAAAATAACAATGTTTCACTTGCAAGACGAGCTCAGGAAGCTCTTTTGCTCGTTTTTGACATGCTAATTGACAGAAAACAGTAGATAAAATGAAATGTGGAATTAGAGGAAACCTATGAAAGAGTAAAAGTGATATGTAGGTACATATCACTTTTAGTAAACCCTGAAGATATCTCAGTTCAGATTGTAATGTTTACCTAGCAAGAACTTCCTCCAAAATAGTACGTTGGCAAGGTGTCACATAGTATATGCACTTTCTCGGACACTGCCCAACAGCAAGTTGGACAGGGTAATCGTCACCATTACCTGAAAAATAAAAGGGTACATTATTTCATAGAAAACAGAAAGGATTGAGATAGGAGTGTTGCACAAGCTGTCTGCGAAGAATTCACTGGCAGATGATATACTATGGAAATTTCCAATCAAGTCAATTGGCAATGTTCAACCTACCTTGAGATATTGCACGAGCTGTACCAATGTCATCTGCAAATGCAAATGCATGAGGTGCCCTTTTAACACAAGAATATGGGCATCCTGCAGAAGATATCATTTTTTTCTCAGTTATCAGATCAAGGTGCGAAAATATGTCAAGTTGTACATGCATTTACAGTGTGCTCGTCCGTGAAAACATATATGTTAACTCTCAAAACAAGGAAACCGACCAAACTCAGTGGCTTCAACCCATACACGCAATATTAACGGTGTACAGATCCTTAGTAAAACAACAGTGTATTTGTTTAATTTCTGAAGACAGCATATCTTGTAGTAGATCAATTAGCAGGACATAAATCTCGTAAAGTTAGGGTTATCGGAGAAAAGATCTGCTTCAGTAAAGTTTAGTTTCTTAGTGCCAATGCAAACGCTTTGTATTTAATTAGCCCTAAACCACATCCTTCACACGAACTGAAGAGAAACAATATGATGCGATAAGTACCAGTGCCAATACATAGGATCTCATTGACAAATATGTCGCGAGCTTCACACTCAGGTTCATCAAATGGGTCAATATTGTTCCTGCACAACATTCCAATGTATACACATGAGTTGATTTTTCCCGAGAATATTTTTGAACTTGTGCATAGTTGCAGAAATCACTGTTTCTTGTAGTATTTAGATGCCTACAAAGACTGTAAAGTCGACATGACACAGCCAGTTTGTATTGAGTAGATTTACTGGTCGATGTACCTTAAACCTCATTAACATCTACTAACCCACATATATTCCCTTCCCCTTTTCATAAATTATTCTCAGGCAACCTCTGTACAACTGTAGCATTTCCTGATCAGTCTTTGACAATTCATTCCTTCAACTATACATGTTTCAGAATTTTACTATATAGGGTCATTTTAAGTTATAAATAACCCCAGAAACTAGAATCGCTGCTTCATCCACTGTACTTGGAACATATTCAAGATTGTCAAGACAAACAGCTGATATGACTTGCGACCCAATCTATGGAAGGAAGCAAATGTTCCAATCAGCATTGCATCATATTTTAAAATACAAGCTCATGAAAGAATTCACTACCTTTCAATCATCATTCCCATGTTGCCAGATAACATCTGTGTGAAACGAAGCAGTGTAACTGATAGCAACATGTAAACAGAAGGTGAAAATAAGGAAATAATCATCTAAAGGATAATGTTGAGTTATTTGATAACGACATGATTTAACACTTTGATTGTAGATGCAGAAGGGTAAAAAGTAATAAATAGACAGAACTGAATACATACAGGTCTACATAAATTCTATTTTTGTTAGTAACTATATGTCCCTGCACCCTGCATTATGCCATCGAGTTCTTTCAGGGGTACTGAACTTTTAGTGATAAATTATGTTTCTCAACAAAACAAAGTGGCAATGTTTACACACAAGTACATCAGACCCTCCTGTAAAAATGTGTTGCAGTGCAAGAAATGAACAAAAGATCATAAACTAGCAGGGTATTCTAATCTAACAAATTCAAAAGCAACAGATTCAGCAACCCTGGCCTTAAGGCCACACCTGGTCCTGTTACTTTGTAATGGTCGCTGTATTATGGCAGCACTCCAACGAACTTGTGAAAAATTCAGGCATCTAGCGAACACGATTACCTCATAGGCCTCCAGCACCCGCCTCATTATTAAATCTGCACTCTCCGTGTCCTTGCAAACGTCAGGATGGAATTCCTTTACCTGTAACAAAAACTCGCAAGGTTAAGTCGCTGTTGACGACGTCCTCCTTGCAACGACCTCAGTAAAGTGAGCTGTTTCGTAGAGCGCGCGAACTGAGCAACAAGGGGCAAGTACACTACCCGAGCGCGGAAGGCGGCTTTGAGCTGCGCGGCGGAGTAGCCGGCCGAGGCGTCGAGGCCGAGGACCTGGAAGGGCGTGGCGAGCGGGTCTAGTATCCTCCCGGCGCCCCCCTCGCCGCCACCGTCCCCGCCGGCGTGCGCCGGGACGGGGAGGGTGCGGCGGGCCGCGCCTCGCCGCGGCGACGCCAACGGCAAGCTCCGTACGAAGGGGGCCGGGTGGCCGCGCGGCGGGAAAGAGGGCGAGGCGGCCAGCGAAGCGGCCATCACGCTCACGGCACCCCTTCGTCGTTCCGGCGCCGCGCGCGAGCGGAACGTGCCTGGCTCGTGCGGAAGTGTGGCGCAACTCGGCTCTTGTGTTTGTCAGAGCAACACCCAACTCTAGCACGGTCAGTCGTATCTGCATCCTCCAAATGAAGTGAGATCTATGAAAAACTATTGAATTCATACTCCAACCAACTCATCCAAAACTAATGAAAAAAAGTAGACAATATATTTCTACAACACTTCTCACGTTTAGGTTTATTTAGGTTTTAGACGTGGGATCGATGTAGGCTGTAGAATTTTTTTTTTTGTTTTAATACTGTGTTGTCAGGGTCTTGAACTTCAAAACCACTTGACTCAGATACTATATTGAACTCATGCGCTAGCAAACACATCCAAAAGTCCAAACTGATGGAAGAAGACGGGAAATATATTTGAACAAAAGCAATGCATAAAGTTTAGACTTGACATAAATAGAGATAAAAGTATTTCCTACGGCTGAGACCCGTTTATTATTATTGGCTAATAATAACTCATTTACCCATCTCATCAATGAACAATTTCAACAATGATTTCAATGAGCGAAACAACTATACAAATGAACCAATAGTTTAACGTCTATTTTTGTTTGGCCTCTTCCTCAGTTTGGATGTGAACTCGCAGGCAGGGATAATTGGGCTATTGTCACTTCTGCGGTCACGCTATCTGCGGATGCATGTGCGTCCTTGATGTGCGAGAAGACCACAACTTTATAGCCCTTTGTGAGTGTGGCTTCCTTTTCTTTCAAGGAGGTTGTCGTCACGCGTGCAACGTAGCGGTGGGCGGCGGGAAAGAACTCCGCCCGATGGCTAATTCAGACTGAAGGAGTGTCTCGTCCTCGACCCACTCGGACCATTTCTAGGCCCTCTCTTAGAACTTCCTTTCGGCTCGGTCCTTTTTAGTCTCGTTGGGGAAGGGTCCATGATGAGGACTCGCCGTCGCGACATGGCAGATGGGGTTTGAGTGTGGACGCCGTGGGAAAGATGGATGATGGGTGGTTTAGGCGAGCGGGATAGGTCGGTTTATATACACGCGAAAGGGGCACGCACGATTGGAAAACGGGCGCGGACACGCAATGACGGTCATTAATAGGCAATTTTTTCGGTAGATAAGTGGATGAGGAATCGACAAGAGTAGAGCAACAGTCGTACAAACGACCGCGCCATTGGCACAAGTGGAAGCGGGGTGAAGAAAACAGGTTGAAACTTCGCTCCTGTGCGGGCTATTGAATTTGAAGTCGCTACATATTAGCACCCCCCCAACCTCCAAAGTTGGAAGCTCGTCGGCTTAATTTGGAATGGCCACCAAAAATTATGTAGGTGAGACTGGTATGGCGAATCTACTAGACCCATTTTTGGGCCCCCAATGTCACACACACACACCATTATTATGGTGATTGGACACACACCATTATGGCTTTTAGGGAGTGAGACTAATTTTATTTTATTTTGACAAAGTTTCCTTTAGATGATCTCCTAGCTAAGTGCTTAACTCCCTAAAACTCACTTATATATGTTTTAGGGAATCTACTATAAATGCCCTAAGAGCAACTTCAATACACCGACCCAAACAGACATATTGTTCTGTTCGCTTTTCGTGTGTTTGGGGCGGTTGTTGGCTCTTTGTCTGCCTACGCCCGACCGGTGCACCCAAACGGTCAACTCGTTTTTTGTCCAAGTTCAAAAGAAGAAGTAATCTAAAAAAGGTCAGCGACCTATAGTTCATGTCAGCGCCCATGCCAACATCCCCAGTTAATGTTGACGGCCATGTCAGCGGCCGGCATACATACCGACCTACAAAAAAAAATCACAGTTCATACTGGCGCACTTGCGAGCACACTTGCCATCACACAAAAAAGTGCGGTAGTTCAACCATGTTACCTCTTGAGCATGCGTTGGTTTTCCCTTGAAGAGGAAAGGGTGATGCAGCAAAGTAGCGTAAGTATTTTCTTCAGTTTTTTAGAACCAATGTATCAATCTAGTAGGAGACAACGCACAAGTCACCTAGTACCTGCACAAACAATCAAGAACCTTGCAACCAACACGATAAAAGAGGTTGTCAATCCCTTCACAGTCACTTGCAAAAGTGAGATCTGATAAAGATAGTAAAGTAAATATTTTTGGTATTTTTGTTATATAGATTAGAAAGTAAAGATTGTAAGATAGTAAACGAGATGCGATATAAATAAAAGAGATGCAATATAATAAGAAAGAGACCAGGGGGCCATAGGTTTCACTAGTGACTTCTCTCAAGATAGCATGTATTACGGTGGGTGAACAAATTACTGTCGAGTAATTGATAGAAAAGTGCATAGTTATGAGAATATCTAGGCAATGATTATGAATATAGGCATCATGTCCGTGTCAAGTAGATCGAAACGATTCTGCATCTACTACTATTACTCAACACATCGACCGCTATCCAGCATGCATCTAGAGCATTAAGTTCATAAGAACAGAGTAACGCATTAAGCAAGATGACATGATGTAGAGGGATAAACCCAAGCAATATGATATAAACCCCATCTTTTTATCCTTGATGGCCACAATACAATACGTGCCTTGCTACCCCTACTGTCACTGGGAAAGGACACCGCAAGATTGAACCCAAAACTAAGCACTTCTCCCATTGCAAGAAAGATCAATCTAGTAGGCCAAACTAAACCGATAATTCGAAGAGACTTGCAAAGATATCAAACCATGCATATAAGAATTCAGAGAAGAACTAAATAATATTCATAGATAATCTTGTTCATAAACCCATAATTCATCGGATCTCGGCAAACACACCACAAAAGAATATTACATCGAATAGATCTCTAAGAACATCGAGGAGAACTTTGTATTGAGAATCAAAGAGAGAGAAGAAGCCATCTAGCTAATAACTATGGACCCAAAGGTTTGTGGTAAACTACTCATGCTTCATCGGAGAGGCTATGATGTTGATGTAGAAGCCCTCCATGATCGATTCCACCTCCGGTAGATCACCGCAAAAGGCTCCAAGATGGGATCTCATGAGTACAGAAGGTTGCGGCGGTGGAAAAGTGGTTTCATGGCTCTGTGTGATCGATCTACGGTATAAGAGTATATATAGGCGAAAGAAGTTGATACGTCTCCGTCGTATCTATAATTTTTGATTGTTCCATGCCAATATTCTACAATTTTCATATACTTTTGGAAAGTTTTTATACTATTTTTGGGACTAACATATTGATCCAGTGCCCAGTGCCAGTTCCTGTTTGTTGCATGTTTTTTGTTTCGCAGAATATCCATACCAAACGGAGTCCAAACGGGATAAAAACTGACGGAGATTTTTTTTGGAATATATATGATTTTTGGGAAGAAAAATCCACGCGAGACGGTGCCCGAGGGAGGCACGAGGCAGGGGGGCGCGCCCCATCCCCCTGGGCGCACCCCTGACTCTCGTGGACACCCCGTAAGGCGGTTGGTGCCCTTCTTTCGCCGCAAGAAAGCTAATATCCGGATAGAGATTGTGTTAAAATTTCAACCCAATCGGAGTTACGGATCTCCGGGAATATAAGAAATGGTGAAAGGGCAGAATCTGGGAACATAGAAACAGAGAGAGACAGAGACAGATCCAATCTCGGAGGGGCTCTCGCTCCTCCCATGCCATGGAGGCCATGGAACAGAGGGGAAACCCTTCTCCCATCTAGGGAGGAGGTCAAGGAAGAAGAAGAAGGAGGGGGGCTCTCTCCCCCTTGCTTCCAGTGGCGCCGGAGTGCCACCGGGGGCCATCATCATCAGTTCATCACCGCAATCTTTACCAACAACTTCACCGCCACCATCACTAACTCTTCCCCCCTCTATGCAGCGGTGTAACCTCTCTCTTACCCATTGTAATCTCTACTTAAACATGGTGCTCAACGCTATATATTATTTCCCAATGATGTATGGCTATCCTATGATGTTTGAGTAGATCCGTTTTGTCCTATGGGCTATTTGATGATCGTGATTGGTTTGAGTTACATGTATTATTATTGGTGCTGTCCTATGGTGCTCTCCGTGTCGCACAAGCGTGAGGAATTCCCGCTGTAGGGCTTGCAATATATTCATGATTTGCTATGGTGGGTGGCGTGAGTGACAGAAGCACATACCCGAGTAAGTAGGTTGTTTGCGTATGGGATAAAGAGGACTTGATGCTTTAATGCTACGGTTGGGTTTTACCTTAATGATCTTTAGTAGTTGCGGATGCTTGCTAGAGTTTCAATCATAAGTGCATATGATCCTAGTAGATAAAGTATGTTAGCTTATGCCTCTCACTCAAATAAAATTGCAATAATGATTATCGGTCTAGTTATCGATTGCTTAGGGACAAATAACTTTCTCGTAACAAAAAGCTCTTTACTAAAACTAACTTAGTTGTGTCTTTATCTAAACAGCCCCTACTTTTTATTTACGTGCTCCTTATTATCTTGCAAACCTATCCAAAAACACCTACAAAGTACTTCTAGTTTCATACTTGTTCTAGGTAAAGCGAACGTCAAGCGTGCGTAGAGTTGTATTGGTGGTCGATAGAACTTGAGGAAATATTTGTTCTACCTTTAGCTCCTCGTTGGGTTCGACACTCTTACTTATCGAAAACTGTTGTGATCCCCTATACTTGTGGGTTAACAAGACCTTTTTCTGGCGCCATTGCCGGGGAGCAATAGCGTGGGGTGAATATTCTCGTGTGTGCCTGTTTGCTTTATCGCTAAGTAATTTTTATTTGCCATTCTTAGTTGTTCTTTATCTTTAGTTATGGATATGGTGTTGGGGAACGTATTAATTTCAAAAATTTCCTAAGCACACGCAAGATCATGGTGATGCATAGCAACGAGAGGGGAGAGTGTGTCCACGTACCCTCGTAGGCCGAAAGCGGAAGCGTTAGCACAACGTGGTTGATGTAGTCGTACGTCTTCACGATCCAACCGATCAAGTACCGAACGCACGGCACCTCCGAGTTCT